CAAGCCAACAATGCCTTACTTGGCTGGCGTCGTGCTTTCGGCACTCGCCTGTTCAGCCCTTGGCGCGGCCACACCAGCTGCAAGCTCTGGCTGCCGCGGATGCGTGTGCCGAAGACGATTTGGTAGGGATCGGGGGCTGGGCAATCACGTCCTCCCAAGTAGTTTGGTTTGCCGAGACCTGGAACATGCAAGACATAAGAGCCGTGTGGCCTTGCCTTGTCAAGCCTGGACAGCGGTACATCGCATGCTTCGAGACGCTGGCGCAGTTAGCACTACTGCAAGCAACCCACAGCCACATTGGTGGTGGGCGCTACTCGTTTAGCATGCCTTCAGGCACGGACAATTCCGCCACGGAAGCAAGCCTTAACAAGTTGTTCACGACCTCCTGGCCGTTGCAACTCTTCGTGCAATTAACAGCCTTCTGGGCTCACGCTCACAATGTGCTGCTGCAGCCGACGCACGTTCCAGGAAGGTGCAATGATTGGGCTGACGATCTCAGCAGAGGTCGGTTGGCCCGATTCAGCCATCGCCCAGAAAGTCGCATACGCTTTAGCCCTGCAAGCCTGGCGATGTCAGGCCGAGGCATTCAACTGTGTCCAATGCATGCGCCCTGGCGCCCGGAGCATTTGGCAGCAGCCTCCGTCACTGCTTCGCCCGCCTGATTTGCATCCCGACATGCCTTGCGACCAAATGGCCGTCGTCGCCCTGTCAGCCAGAACAACTGGCAACGTCAGCCAGCCGCTTAATCAAGCCGCTCTGACCGAAAAAAGTGCAGACACTGCGTAACAGGCTGCTCACAGCCCAGCGTGCATGGCCACGCTAGCATTTGCCCTGCCAGGTACAACCCCACTCTGAAGGGCCTGCGGCCCAGCGGGCTCGCTTATACCGGGGTTGCCTGAAACACTGAAGGGGGGGTCAATGTGCCTCCTGTTCCAGGCGCACCAGTGCCCTGGAAGCAGTGCTACTTTCAGCAATCCCGGTAAAAAGAACTGCGGCCGCTTCGGATGAGCTTTGTTCTTTTGAGGGTTTCATGTTTGGGTTCAAGCTAGGAGCAGTGCAACATGCCTTAACGCTTAGGGTTTCTTTTCCCTTGTGTTTAGGGCATGTTGTGAATCGAACTACGCGTTGGCCGTTTTGCTCCTAGCCTTGACCCAAACCTGCGGTTTCATTTGAAACCCACCCACCCACCCTGCACTGCCCTATACAAGGCTCTGCAAGTATAGGTAGCAGACGCTCTGCACTTTCATGGGTGGCCTCCGGGCCTTTTGGTCTCCGGACCAGGTCTCCGGACCAACTTTGGTCTCCGGACCTCGAGTCTCCGGACTTTCGGTCTCCGGACCTTGGGGCGTGGGCACGCATGCCGCGCCCCGCAAGCACTGCATTTGTATGCAAGGACACGCATTGTCTTGCCTTTTCAAAATTCGGGGGGTCAATGTGCCTCCTGTTCCAGGCGCACCAGTGCCCTGGAAGCAGTGCTACTTTCAGCAATCCCGGTAAAAAGAACTGCGGCCGCTTCGGATGAGCTTTGTTCTTTTGGGGTTTCATGTTTGGGTTCAAGCTAGGAGCAGTGCAACATGCCTTAACACACATCGTCAGTTCAACAAACATGCCTGGAAGCAGCGTGTTTCACCAAGCCCTGAGTTGCACGGCAGTCCGTCGAACGACTCGCAAGCTGGCAGCCGCTCCGGTTTTGCAATTTTCTGCGCGCTGCTGTGGCACGGTCCATGTCACTGCCTTCCCAAAACGATGGCTTGATTTTTGCCTTCGTGCTCGCCTTTTAAGTGCTTCACCCTCAGAATGAGGACCTTGTCATCGCCCGCGACAGCAGCATTGACAATGAACATTTCCACCTTGTAAGTCTCCACCTCGTGGTAGCTGAATATTGTTGCCGCTGGCCAGAAGCAAAGGAAGATGCGCGCCCACTCGGCCAAGGCTGCGGACTCAGTGTTCGGCTCGATCGCCTCCATGTCAATGTCCTTGGTTGCACGAGAGCGGATCGCAGACCAACACCTTTATTTTAAACTGACGGCATCCTAAGTCTGAGACAAACAATTTAATGTCGCCAAGTTTCCTCTGGAAGCTCAAACTGGGTCTCCGCTGCGGCGCAGACTTCGCCTTTCCAAATGGTCGTCAACGGGTATCTGAGTCTCCCCGCCAGTGGAGACAACGACATTGCTTCGTGATTCTGAGTGGGGGCAATCTGTTACAAAGGTTAAATTCTCAACACTTCGAGCTTGAAAAGGAACCTATAATATTTTGCGTAAAACTATTTTCGCAGGGCCGTATTGGCTTAGACGATGGTCGGTAGCGCCCTGGTCTTTGCTAAGAGCCCGCAAAGTCGCGCACATGACACGGCGGATTCAAAGCGACAATGCTAATAGGCGCCGGAGGGGCAAGCAAGTCCACAAGCTCATTGGACAAATCCAAGCTAGACATCGCGCGTTTTCGGCCAAGCGACATGGTGCGGGTCATCCCTTGCCAGAGCAGCCGCCTACTTAATTCAATATTTCAAATTACATCAATGGGCGGCGTGCGGCATCATCGCCACAGAGCGCCTTGTTCATGTCCGGGCGAAACCAAACCGTACACTGCATCTGGCAAATGGCCTTTCACCTTGGCGGAATCAGCCCAAATGTCATGTGGAAGCTTACTGATGAGCTGGGAGGCCAGCGTCGCCCGAGGGAGCATCCGCTGCAAAATGCTCGTCGCGCCCATTTGTCTGGCAGGAAACGACTGCAGGACCTCATCCACCAGCACTTTTGGCCATCCCTGCAGCGCAGCCATTTCCCAGATGTTCATCCATCGATTCAGCGTCACTAGGAAATGTCCATTTGACGATGCCCTGGACTTTGTCAAGCATGGGCTGCACTCCAGCATGACACACCGAAACATTTCTGTGGCCCCACCGTCGCACACGATCTGCCTCTTCACATCCCAGCCCTTCGCTTCAGCAAATGCCTTGGCAGCTTTGATGTTCTTCAGGGCCAAGTCTGTGACATCCCGCTTCTGCTGCACGTTGTTGATGATGAAGCGGCTGAGCGAAGGGCAAGTGACGCATCTCCTCTTTCACTGCCCATGCCTTTGAGATGGCCACGAGGTACAGCCTTGGCCTGCTGTGCGGGATTCCCCCATGGACCTTCGTGTCGAGGACCTGGGCCCGTACGGAGTAATTGCAGAGGCGCAGAATCTTCACCACCGCGTCCAGCACCGCTTTGCATTTCGGGCCGCTAAGCCCCCGCACATTTTCAAACACTGCGAGCCGTAGCCTCTTTTCCACGACGTAATCGAGGCTGTGTATCAAAACGCAGCCCCGAACATCTCCTAGCGACTGCTGGCGACCAGCGCTTGAAAATGCTGGGCAAGGAGCTCCGCTGACGTAAAGGTCACAGGCCGGAGCGCTGGAGTTGTCCCGCGAGGTGATGTCATCGTACACCTTTTCCTGAATTTCGAATTTGCTATTGGATTTAAGCAAGCAGAAAACACAAAAACTTTCGTCGAAATCTAAATGAGGAGCTGGCGTATCTCCAAAATGCGCGTGCATCTGCAAGGCCATTTTTCTCCTGGTGGGGTCGATGTCCTTGGCTCAAGGGACCAGCCCAGCAACAAAACGGAGTGCCGCAATGCAAGCAGGCGGCCGAAATGAAAGCAGTGCTCACCCGAATTGACTGGCCGAAGGCCAGCTTCAAGCTGACAAAGTCGGAGGACAAACCCGAGCAGTCAGACCCAAGTCGGACCACAGACGGAGCCGCAGCCCTTTCTCCAGGTCCAGTTTCGCGGCCAAGGCGACTGGTTGCGGCTTTCTTCTCAAGCTGCTCAATCAGGGCTTCAGCAAACTTCCTTAGCTCGCAAAAACGCAGCTCGTTCAGTCAAGCCTTGACAGGCATCACTGCTGACAGACTCTGATTGAAAGCAAGGATCCTTTGGTCACTGTTCGTAAGGTCGCCGGCTGGCCGCTTCTTCGAAGTCTTGGCAGCTGCTTGCGTAGGCGTTGCTTCCTTGGTTTTCGTCTTGGTCTTAGCCGTCTTCAAGACCTTCTTGGCGTCGCCTTTGTGCCCGCATGCCTTCTGGTCTTTGTGTCTCTTTCTGCCGTTCTTCTCTTTCGCGGGCTCTGAAGCCATGGCAAAATCGAGGTCCATCTTGCCTACTATTGATTGACATGCCGCTTCTCTTGAGCATGTACTGATCTGCAACAATTTTCAGAACAAGCCGCCCGGCAAGAAAGACAAAACATGAGCAATGAGGCACTCGCAGGGGGGATTAAATGTCCTCGTCACCACTCAGTTGCGGAAGCCTAAGCCTAGGCGCTGCAGTCACATTATTTTACACCGCTCTGAAGTTTGTGTCGCTCGTCATTGTGATTCAGATTGAAGGTCAATCCAGTCACTCAAAGCCCTAATAAGGTGTCCTTTTCGCCCAGCCTTCAGCTCAGCAGCTTCCAATTTACATTGATGCCTCTGCTTAACTACATTACCTTGAGCAAAGCCAGCAGTAAGTTTCAATATTTGTTCAAAACACCGACGCCGTCCCCTAGCCGGGCCTCGCAGGGACACAAGACCCTAGTAAGGCCCGGCGCAAGGACGGTGTTTCACCCACGACGTTGCGCCGCCGAAGAAAACATATTTGATAGTTGATCCGCCGCGGAAGTCTGGGCCTAAGCGTCTTGAACAAAAAGCAGCCAGGATTGCTGCGGCCTAGCCTAGTATGCTCACTGACTGGCCGAGTCTGATTCAGAATCGTCAATCAGCTGGGAGGCCGGCGGCGCGTTGCCAGTCGGTTTTTCCTTCTTCTGCTTCTTCTCCGCCTTCCCCGTCTTCTTATTCGTCGTCTTTGGCTTCTTAGGCTCCGGCTCAGGCGCCGGATCTCCGGGGGCGGGCGTCAACCGCTTTGGCGTCTTCTTGCCCTTTTCGGCTTCCGCATCCTTCTTGCCAGCTGCCGCCCACTCAGGCGCGTAGAACGTAGACCCTTCTGTCTGCATCTGTTGCTTGACAAACTTGACCAGCTCACTCTGGAGAAGCGAAGCGTGAGTCTCTGTCATGGTCAGGGCCATGTAAGGAATCCAAGGCCGCCTTGGCCAGATCTCCTGCGCCTGGCGTGCAATCCAGCACGCCTGTGATCTCGTACGCGGCCAGGGCGTCTGAGTACAGCGTCACCGGCAAGTGGTTGAAGAAGGCAGGCTCATAAGAGTCACCGTCTCGCTGCTGTTCTTCATTCTCCTTTGGGTCCTCGGCAGAATCTGCGCCCATCATCTTGTCTCCGTACATCTCTTTCCTGACAAATCGGGCGACGCATATGATTGAGGCCCCCAAACATGCTACTATTACTATGGCACGATTAAATTTGAGTCGGGCTGCTTATTGTTCACAGTTAAAGTCCACTCATCCGAAGCGCTGCCCAAACCAATCCAGCCGATGCAATTCCCTCGGTTGGAGCCGGGGAATTTGGTGTGTTTGCGTTCTGGCAGCCAAGTGGACATGGGCTCGGTGCTGATCAAATGCCAGCGCTGAATCTGGTTGATCATGCCGCGGTTCAGTTTCTTCTTTCCTTCCATTGACTCCTCGACAGGATTGAAAGACAAGTGAAACCGATGAAAGCACTGACAAAGCTTTCAAATTTGACGAATTTATAAGTACACAATCGAATTTTGAAACGGACATCGTCGTCCTGGCTGAGGCACAGCGTGATCTCCGTGTGCTCCAGGTAGTGCGCCAAGGCCCGCTTGCCATCCTTCGACTTGAGCGGCGCCAAGAGGCTCTCCAGCACGTTCCGCCCAGCATCGTTCAAGAAAATGAAGTCTCCGTCAATTGGACGGTCGAAGTGATCCTCTGCCACCTTCTTGTTCGCCAGGCCGCCGCGGCCCTTGATGCTGCCGTGGATCAACTTTTTCATGAGGGCTGGGCTCAGTGGCGGAAACCTTCGGTCAGGCCTTTTGGCGGCCTCTGCAAACAGGTTGGCGTCAAAGTGGATCATGACACCGCTCTTGCCCTGCACGCCGCGGAGGTCGCCATTCAGGCCGCTATCCCCTACGGCCCGGGCAACGGCAGACTGGGTTGGAGGCTCGGCCCGCAACGACACATAGATCGCAACCTGTTGCGCTGCCGTCGCTGTCCAATGCCTTCGTTGACTGCTCATGCATTGCCGCAACAATGGTGCACGCTCGCACGAGCAAAGCAACGTCAAATTCAATTCTCTCCAAGGCACTCAGCCGAGCCCTTGGGGTACTTTGAAGGCTGCGGAGCCACGCTGCCCTGCGCGATCTTCGTGCACTCGTCCTGCTCGTCCTGCTCCTCCTCGGCCGCCTTGTAGAGCGCTTTCTCTGCAGCTAGTTCATTGTCTTTTGCTGCCACGCAAGCCTTCCATCGTAGACTGAACGTCTCGATCTCGAGCAGCTCAAGCGGGTTGGCTCCCTTTCCTTTCTTCAGAAGAGCAATCAAGGGGCCGTTGAGCGTCGTCGTGTACAGGATGTCCTTCGCGCCAAGGGGGCCATTGCCAATAATGCTTTTAAGATTGCATTGCCCCCCCCACCTCGATCAACCTCAGCACAAGCATGCTGGAGCGCTTCAACGAAGACATCCATTGAACTTCAGATGGACCTTCAAGGTTAGCAGCGGTCACGTATTTCCGGTAGCTGCAAATCGTCATGATCTTCGAGTGGATCTTGGCAAGGTCCTGAGTGTCGAACTGGCTGCGTGGCATCTCCACCTGAGTCCATCAATGCAATGCCTAACACCACGCATTTTTTCAGAAGCCTAGCAACCATTGAACACAATAAACTTGAACCACAGATCCATGTTGATAAGTTAGTTTACTTGCCAAGACTGAAGAGGGCCGTGTTCAACAAGTGTTTGTTGATGGACAACTCGCTCTCAGGCCACTTTTCTCTTGCCTGCAAAAAGTGATGCGCCACAGTTCGCTTCAGCTTCAACAGCTCGACCAGCGATGCGGCTGTGGGCGTCCCAGCGAGGTAGGTCTTGGTGATGGTCTCGCGCTCAAGCGCTCCTCCCTCCACCATGTCGCAAATCACTTTCAGAATCCATTGCCTCAATAGATGGTCGCAAGGCAAAAATAAAAGCAATTGCGCAGATTCAGAAAGTCCGATGGCAGCGCTGTTCCCCGGCCTGGTCTCCATGTTCTCGCTTTTTGCAATCAGCACCCGAAGTTTCTGAAGGGAGTTCAATGGCGACTCCAAGCCACACTTGCTCTCCAACTTGTCCAGCACCTCGTTGCAGGTTGTGTCCACGAGCAACTTCTCATAGACGAACAGGCAGTCCTTCACGAATCCATCCGCCATGTCGCCTTTCACGGAGGATTTCGCCATGAGGTGGGCCTTGGACCGGAAGATGTCTTGCACCTCCTTAACTCCAAGTCTCTCGCCAGCCTCGGACTCCTTCTTGTTTTTGAAGGCAGTCACCTCAAAAGCGAGTTGTCGAGCGCTTCTCTTGAGGGAGTCGTAAGTCTGCACCACTTGCTGCCTCCGGTGGAAGCTGTGCCAGTACAAGCTGTCTCCCCCGCCCACCACTGTGAACACTGCCGGCGCCGACAAAAAGACCCGGCGCCAGGCAGCAAGCTTCTCATCAGGCGCCTTAGCAGCTTCAACACCAGTCACTGAATGCGTCCGAAGACTACAAACAGAATTACCCTCTAAGTAGCTATTAAATCCCTGTCAGTCAGTAAACGTGTCTGAAAACCGCGAAACTCTCGTCGCTAGCTAATTTCCGAACACCTGCCTGGTCTTTGATGACATCCGCTAAGGTGAACAGCAGGGCGTGCTGCATTTCCTCCGGGCTCACAGCCTTCCACTTCCCCTTGCTATCCAGCATGTCCTGGTCCGGGCTGTCGACCGCGACTGTGAAGTTCTCGGTCAAGTCATCCCCGGCGGGACAAGCAAATTGCCCGAGTTCCCGGACCCTCTCCACACTGAGCGGTACTGTGGGCGTTGTGGGCCCAAATGGGTCAATCCACATCAAGTTGATCGCGGCCCTGTAGCATCCTTCCTTCGTCAATGCTGCCTTGCACTCCCGTGGGTCGAAAACTGCCTGGCAGATTGACCAGTGTAATTCAAGCTGAAAAACAACTATTCGCTCTACCAGAAATGTCTCGTTGTTTTAGACAAGTGGTACGTTTGCAGCAATTCAGTGTTTTTGGCACGAACTGCCCGCAGACACCTTGCGCATGCAGGAAATGCACTGGTTTTGCATTATGAGTTGAGGCACTTGTTTGTATTTGCGGGCGTTTGTGTTGTTTTTTGCACTCGTTGTTGGTTGCCCAGAAGTGGTGTCAAACTGGTGTAATCAGCACAATAGGAGCAACACGGTCAAACTCTGTCAAACTGACCATTGCAGCATGCAAAGGATGTTCCGCGTAGTGGATTGCAAGGACAGGAGTCAAACATAACAAGTCTCCACCCAAGACGACAATTTGAAGGATGGCGATTTGTTTGAAACTGCTGAGTTACCAGTTACATCCGAAAACTAGTCCTTTAATTTAATTGTCGTCATGTATGCTGTTTGTTTCGCGGTAAAATTGGTAAGTAGAAAGGCCGGAGCACAGATACGGAGTAGTACTAGTGTCGAATGAAGATGCAGGCTATGTTTAATCCGCCAATGCACTAAAACCTTCCCGCCTGAACTCCTGACTGGTCTTCTCCCGGCTTGGTGTTGATCGGCAGCGGCGTCTGAAGGTCAACGAAGGTGGGGCACTGAAGGATCACGTTGACGGCGTCGATGAGCGCTTCGTAGTACTGGGTGTTGTTCTGAGGCGCCGTTTCCGGAGCATCGATAGCCGCCGCCGCCGACTGTGGCTGGTTCTTCTTGACCTGGCTCTTCACCATCTTTGCTTCCTTCAGAGCCTGACGGAAGGCAAGACTGCATTTTCTGATGGATTTGCACGTGAAAACGACAGGGCTTCAAAAAACATCATGGTTTGGCGTTGACAGCTCCTTCGACTTGGTCGCCGCGGCTTCTGAAGCTGCCTTCTGAGCGTCCTCGTCTGAATCGCCAGCAGTCTTGCGCTCCGCGTAGACCCTTTTCTCCTCTTCCTCGACTGACTTCTGCTGCAAACCTTTGAGCTAATGCTTGGCCTCAATGACTGCTCAGCCGCCTGACAATGTCAATCAACCTATAGGCAGATTTTTGAGATTGGCGCCTAGCTTCAAACATTGACGACTGACAGACTAGTGACTAGCCAACTTCAGCTCACAGCCGCCCAAGCATAATTTGTTCACTGGCAGGTCAGTCGCTCAGCGGCCCGGCGGCGGTCAGAAGAATCAGGTGCTGCCTTCTGAACATTTCAGAGGCAGTGCAGGCTCGTCCTCAGGCTGGTCAGGCCAGGTCCAATGCAGGTCGTCACCGCCTTGGCTGGCAAGACAAAAAGTAAAACACATCTTGCCACTGGGAGCGTTCCCTGGCGAGGGGTACCCCCCCCGTCGGGGGAGGGCTCTCGCCAACCGAACCTAGGGTCGTCTGGCGAGGGCCACCCCCCCCCGTTACAAGCGTGTGGCGAGAGCTACTCCGCTGCGTCACTGTACGTAACGGAGGGGGTAGCCCTCGCCAGACGAACCTAGGTTCGGTTGGCGAGAGCCCCCCCCCGACGGGGGGGTACCCCTCGCCACCAAACACACCCGTAAACGAACCTAGGCTCACTTGGCGAGAGCCCGACGTATAGCGGTTGCGGTGCCGACGTTTAGCGGTTGCGGTGCCCCGACGTATAAGAGTTGCGGGGCTTTCGGGGGAGGGAGGGAAAAGGAATTAAAAATAAACGACCCTGGGTGCGCCGACAGTCAGTCAAAAAATGAAAACCCTTAACAAAGTAATCATGCAGCCAAAAATCGGCCAAGCTGTTCGCATCAATTGTCGTCGGCCGCCTTTGCCGTGCACTTCCTGCTGATCGGGGCGGCTGAGCAGGCTGGGTGCAGTACACTGGGCCAGATAGCTCAACCAGGCGGTGTCCACTACGGGCATCGGCGGGTCGTCGGCCTTCTTAGAGCCAGCGCTCTCGTCATCCTCCACAACCACGACCTCATTGTCACTCATCTCGTCGTCGCCGCCCACCACCGCCGCTGACTCCGGGCCAGTGCGCTGCTTCTTCCGCTTACCTAAGTTTAAGCAGCCATCAGATTACAGACTACTAAGACTAATACTTTAAGTCAACGTGCCAATGACAGCAAACACAAGATATGGAAACGTCAATGTCCATTGCCATCATGATGCGCCTCGCGGCTCTCGCCCGGTTTGCCATCGCTCTCGCATCTGCTGATGGCGTATCGCCCGACTTTCCTCAGTTCACGCCAAGCAATTTAATAGCTTACTTAATTAGAAGCTTGAAAACTAGAAAAATGAAAGCCAAGCCAAGGCACGAATCTTCCTCACCTTAGTTAGTCAGTCTGGTGCCTACATGCCGAAGGCAACCAACTCGCGCTTGGCAAGCTATTAAATTCAGGCAGAAAGCGTAGGCCTCCACGGCGGCCACAGGAGCATTCGGGCCCTGGCGGTTGCCCATCGTGTCCTCGTAGTCGCGGAGTTCCTGGATGAGCTCCGCCAGGAACTTCACGGAGTCCTGGCCGCCCTTGATCCAGCTCCACTTGTCGTCGCACTTCTTGAAGATGCCAGCCAGCAGGCCGTCGTATGCCCTCCACTGGACGGCCTTCTTGGGCGGGATGGGCCGGATCGCCCTGCGATCCTGAAAGTAAAGCAGTGACATGCAGTGACTTGAGCAATTAAATGGAATCACATCCGCGCAGGCATCAATGCTATCAAAATCAATTTTAATACCTAAGTCAGTCAATGCAAGCCAGGAAGCTGCAAGCGGCCCCATTGGCATCATTAGACGCTTCTCAACGGCCTCAAACAGCGTCGCCCCCCCTAGCCCGTAGAGGTCCGTCCATGGAGTCAGTGTGAAGGATAAGACCTCGTCGGCGGGCATGTAACACATGGTTCCGCGGAAGGGCGCCTGAGCCAGCGTCTTGAATTTGAAAGCAGTTCCCTCTGTCTGAACACATCATAACGGCAAATCAACTCATCTGTCAATCAATTTGGGGCTTGTCGGGCAACTCAGGGATTGCCAGGACTAAGAGTGAACGCTCAGCTGCCGACCAGCCCTCAGCCTAACTAAGTAAGCCCTGAGTTGCCTGCCCGACGATGACAACTTGGGCAACTCAGACTCGTCAGGGCTTGCCAGGACTAAGAGGCAATGCAGCTGCCGACCCGCCCTCAGCCTGAGTAAGCCCTGAGTCGCCCGATGAGGGTACGGGGCGTCGTTGTTGGCGATTTCACGGGCGCCCTGCGAAGCAGAATGCATCAGTGTTTCAGGATGAATGCCAGCCATATCAGTTTGCCTTGTCATCCCGAGCTGGCACCGAAAGTGGCAACTCTCGAATCGAACCCTGAGGCGCTGGGGTGCCATCGTTTGAGGGGGGATCTAATTTGCTACACAAGGAAAAAGGTGCATGGGAAAAAAGACACGGGGAGACACTTGTTGGCCCCCGGCACGCCAAGCAGGCCCTGCAAGATGGACTGGCTACTCATGGTGTCGAAAGTACCGATCGGGTCGACAGGGCGAACTGGCTTGCTGGGCAAAAACACGGGCGACCAAGCGACGGGTGAAGTCACCAACAACAATGCCCCGGATCCCGTTGGGCTTGCGCAAAGCGACGATCCGCCCGAGCCCGAGTGCTCTGGCTGCATCACGGGGAATGCGGGCTTGAGCAACCAGCACACGAACAAGGGGCGGCGCCTTTGCGTGCACGCCGCAGGCCGGAAAGGACAAGCTCCGCAAGAAGCTGGGCTGGGGAGGTTGGAAGCCCAAAGCCTTTGGCGAAACTCCTGAAAAGTCTCAACGGTGCCGGGGGCCAGCAGGCTGGCGACCAACGCTTGCCGGGCAGCGGCTCCCCCAGTGCCTTACCAAGGAGATCGAGCCAGCGGCCCTCATTGAAAGCGCTGCTGCTGCTGCTGGTGCTGCTGCTACTGCGGTTGCGGTTGCGGCTGTCGCTGCTGCCGTCGGGCCCATCGGGGCTGGGAGGTGCGGGCAAGGAACAGCAACAGCATGCGATGGGCGGGGCAGAAAAGAAGTCTAGGAGCGCTCCAAGCTGACCAAAAAAAAGGTGGGCCTCCCACTAGGCCGAACTCCTTCCCGTCACATGGTCTGGGCCCCTGTCCACGTCCCACGGAGGGCTGGTGGGATCCTGAATAGACTTGTCTTCGTTGCGGGTTTTGCCTTGCCATGCAGGACCCTCTCCTACAAAAAAGTGCCGTCTCCCCCCGTCTGTGCCGAGCATGGTCCTCGTATGTTTGCCGTTGATGTCCCGTCCCAGGAGCGAGGGTGGATCTGTTCTCATCACCACCCGCCCTTCGTTCTCCCTTGCTCACGAAAAAATGCTTCCCGTTAAAATGGCTTCCACGCCGCCCCCGCGGCAGGGAGCCAGGTGACGGGGCTGATCGGGCGTTGTAGGACGGGGCCTACCGCATGAAGCTGTCCCGTGCAGACACTTCACTGACCACCCGGACCGGCAAAACGGACACGACATGTTACGGGAATTAACCAAGGTGCAACGAGTGCCCCGCACGACGGCCACTCGTACCGACTTTGCGGCCCAACCAAGTGAGGCCGGACGACACACAAGCACATGGGGCAGGCGGCCCGGCCTCCGCTGGCTGCGAGGAAGCGCGCAACATCCGAGTTGCGTCGCAGCAACTGACGCGCCATGAACAGGGGACGACCGGCTTGGTTCGTGTGTACAGGTGGGGTTTCCGTGCCCCCACACGACGGGACTGTCCTCCCGGCGGTTGGTGCAGGGGTCCGCCCCCCTGATGCTGACAGTACCAGTGATGCCAACGCTTGAGGGCGACGTGTTGTCCGACGCCTGTTGGGTGCCGGGCCTACAGGCGCTGGCCGTGGGCTGGCGTCTGTCTGGCACAGGGTCGACGACCAAAGCGGCAGAACCCCGCCCAGGTGGGAGTGCAGCGGGGGGGACCTCGAGCAGTACCGTGCCGGTTGGCACGACACGGGCGACACCAAGGGTGGTGTGGATGGCGAGTTGCTGGCCATTCCAAAGCGCCAGGCAGTTTGCAGCGATTTTAAGCCACTGGTCGTTGTTTTTGAACGTGCAAATTCATGTTTGCCGGACAGGCTGGGCTCCGCGCGGCTGCAGCGTTGTGAGAGCTCACAGTGCAATGTTAGCTTTGCATCCGTTCTTTGGGTAGTCGTCTGCTTTTGTGGCTCACCAGTTTGTGTAGTGATCATAATCGACGGGAAAGGTTGTTGTGTGTGCAACCCAACGTCAGGCATGCTCCAGGCCAGCAAGGTTGGTTCGCAGCAACGTTTTTCGTTTGTAGCTCGCAGACAAGCAGTGGGTTTGTTTTTAGCGCTTTATCCGAGCTCTGCAGCGATGGGCAATCACCCCATCACCGTTTGCAACCAGGCACGGTCAGCTGGCAAACTCGATTGAGGGAAACATGTGTCATGATGGTAATGGTGACCCCATAACTCATAACATTCAATCCCAGCTCATTCATACGGTGCCGTCCCTGGGTTTAGTAGGGGCTCGCTACTTTTTGAGGTAAGAAGCTGGAGTTACCACTGAGGTTTATTATTATGGGGTCAACCTTACACATGGGGAACATAAGATGCAAAACAAGAGGAAGTCCGTGTCAAGATGTGAGTCCACCAAGCAGCTTCGAAAGAAAAAGAAAGAAACACAACAACGAACAAAAACGTGTCAAATGCCAAGGTGCTGAGCTGCGAGTGGCGGCCCCAGGATTCAAAATTGAGACGCAGCTCATATGTGTGACTCCTGGCTTCCGTTGTGGAAAAAGGGGGGACCTTCAAACCGGCCATTGTTAGTTGTGTTGCGTGTGTTCCTTTCTTCTCCTTCCTTCAGTATCGCGGACCCTAGAGAACTCCAGCATATCCCAAGCGATCATTGCGTGAAGTTTTTGCAAGGGACAAGATCCAACTCCGCTCGCCGCTCACCTTGCCGCTCAGTTTCGAAGCTGTGCGCCAGTCCATGCGCTGTGGAAGCCGCTGCCGGGTTGCCTTAGAGCACAGGGCTGGGCACGGGGAGAGGCCAGGATGAACCTTCGCGTTCCTCCTGAAACAAGCCTTTAAGGCCTTTCCGGTCGTCCCCTTGAAGCGGTGATTTGCCTGGGTTGAGCCCTTGTTTTGTTCGCCACGGCCAGGCGCGACACAATAAACGCTCTCATTTCCTTAGGCCAAAGGGGCTGTGTGAGGTGGTTCTCTGACTTGCTGGATGCATGATGCCTTCGTCACCCAGCCGAGGCCTCCCGGACGATGAGGCGAGCTGACAAAAGCTGATCCTGGGTGCTTGCCTGTGTTTGCCCATGTTAGATGTCCTTTCGGTAGCTTCATTCAGGATCCCTTTTCAGAATCATCTTTTTCCGGATGCTGAGTCGGGTTTGGAGGCAGGGCGTGTGTTGGCTGGATGGTGATCTGGGTTTTGTTTTTGCCTCGCAGAAAGCCAGGGCTTGAAAGGGAGGATACGCGTGATAACCAAAATCGCGAGGGGCGAGAGCAGCTTGCTCACAAAGGTTGAGTTACAGCTTGGCTGGGGTTGCATGTGAAACCATGAAGGCGAATTCGCAAGAGGGCACATCGGCCCCCGCAACGCGCCTCACAAATGGTGGTTTCCGACAGGACCATTTCCTATGACTAGACCTTCCTGATGGAAAGCGCAAAGCAGTTTGGTTGAACCCCGTTTCAGGTTCCAGATGGCAGCGAACATGCAACGCCAACAGGTTCCATGTTATTTGGGGGGGGGGGGGGGGCGGGAAGGGGGCAACGTGGTTCCCCCCCCCCCATTTTTTTTAATTTGCGTTTCGCTTCTGAAGAATCGGGGCGATTCGGGCGATTCTCGAGGATGCTCAGCTGGCGCTGCGCTTGGTCTTCGCGCCCATGGACTGGTGGGCACCATGCGCTCGCCGCGTGTTCGTAGTGAAGGCACAAAGTTTAAGCGATCTTCAGCCCGTAAGTGCCACATGGATGCCAGCCCCCCCCCCTCCACAAAATGATAATAATAGCAGAAGTAAATATAGACATAAGCTAGTAGTATCAAAACAAAATAAATTATTATCAACAAGTCAAGTGACAGAGTCCACTTGTGTGGGGCGGTGGGGTTGGGATCCACAAGCCTTCTGGTTCAGACAATCGCAAAGGCTTCATGAGATTTCTTACCATTTGCCGGTGGATCCGATGTCATTTATTTGCAGCGTGAGAACTTTGCGTGTAGCGCCTAATTCTGCCTATCCTGTTAGGATTCCCCTGCATCAACTTCCTGTCCGATGAAGCCAGGCACCTGCCTCAGCGCGTGCCGTGCTGGAGAGGGGGGTCCGCAGTTCTTGCGCGTTTATCGCGCATGCTGCCATCATCCATTTGGCGTCATTAAGGCGAGGAAGTCATCGTGACGAGCATCAAGAAGGCGTGGGCTGGGCGCTTCTTTTTCTCCACGTTGGCGTGGTGTCCATTTCAGTTGTTTCTGGCGCTCGTTTGAAGAGGCGGCGCCTTTGTCTTTTGCATTTGCGTGGCTTTGGCGCTCCTTTGGCGCTCCTTTGGCGCTCCTTCGTCAAGGTGAAGCAAAGTTAGATCCGAGGTCCCAGGTCCGGCTGACACATGCGGACCCATCACGCATTACGCCAAGACAAGGAACAGCATGGAGCCCGTGTGTTAGGTTCTCCAGACACCGTTGTCCAACACCGACCTTTGGACGTTTGGTTTTCCTATTTTGCTCCATGTTAAGAACAGGTACCAGGGCCATGTTGAGTCAAGGTGCCAGTGTCGTCCCCGCTCGGCCGCTCGGAGCTCAGGCGCCCGGATGGGAGCCTTTGACCTGGCGCCAGGCGCGGTTCCGCCGGCTGGCTGGAGAGCGATGGATTCCCATTCGGGACCTTCCCTGTCCACCTGTTGGTTTCCCTTCTAAAGGCAGTGTGTGTCTGTGTGTGTTTTTGTTTTTGGTTGGTTGTTTAGGTGGGGGGTAGTTGGCCTTTAGACACTGTTGGGGCTCAGTTTTGGTGTCCAAAGTTTGGTCTTTTTTGGGAAGCCTTGGGCCAACCCAACTGGGTTGTATGAAAAAAGGTGGCTGCTACTACCTTATTATCAGGCCGGTCCTTTCTTTTTTTTACAACACCTCACTTCCCGTAGTTCCTGGACTTCATCCTTCCTGGGACGACCGTTTCAGACGTTTAAAAAAAAAGACGGAAGCTCGGAGTGTTTTTTTGCCCCATCCACGTCGCTGGGCAGCGCCGAAGAACGGCCTCGCTGCCGCCGGCTTCCGCCGGAATCGCGAGGACCGCGTGGCCCGGCAGGAGGCGGCGGCGCGGGGGGCGCGGCTGTGGCCGGGCCCGGGGGAGTCTCGCTTTGGCAGGCGCCCGGGGGGCTGGGGGCGTTTGGGAGTTGAAGGGGTGGGTTCAAGAGCGGTGCCATCAAAAAAAGACAGCACCCCATGTTGTTCAGTGTTGTGTTGTTTTTGTGTTTTGTTTTTGTTTTGTTTGTTTGTATGGGTTGGTGTTTTGGTTTGGTTGTCCTTTGTGTCTTTGTTTCCGTGTGTCTTTGTTTCTTGGCAAGGTCTGTTTTGTGTAGTTGTGCTGTGTTGTGTTGTGTTCAGGTGTTTGGTTGGTGTTGTAAATGTTGGTGTTGCTTGTACTGCTCGCCTGCTTGTGTCTCTATTTTGTTTGTGTCTTTCTTTCTTGCTCCTTTCTTTCTTTCTGTCTTTGTTTCTTTAGTGTGTTCTTTCTTTGTGTTTGTTTCTTTTCTTTATATTCCATTTTTCTGTATGTCTTTCGTATTTGTGTTTGTTTATTTGTTTCTTTGCGTTGTTGTGTTTTGTTTACTTAAATGGGTTGTTGTTCTTTGTTTGGTTGCTCGTTTGCTTGTTTCTTGTTTGCATACTTGCGTTGTTCGATTCGGACACCGGCATGTCTGGAATTGAAGGTGCCTAGCATGTCCAGCACAATGCGCGTGGGCTGCTTCGACAACAGCCCGCGACGTGCTGTTTTGAATTGGAAGGTGTGCATTGGGAAATCTTGACTGCTATTGAGTTGGATCTTTAGACTTTAACTTATGGAAATGATGGGATTTTCCAGTAAACCCACCAAAAGTTATGTTTTTTGCAGAGGGGTCACCAGCAAAATGGGCGGCCCCAAGAAGAAAGAAACAAGTGCCAGCGAACCCTGAGATTGGCATGGCCCTGGCTGTCGCTTCGCTTTGTGTTTGGGCCTTTTTACTCTCTCCAGAGAGTGCATGGGGCACACAGAGGTGGTGAACTGGAATCGGACATCTTTCAGTGGACGTGTGGGCGCCATCCGGAATGGGATCGGCAAAGTGTTTTTTTGTGCAAGCCCATGTGCCGGCAGGCCCTCACGCTGCTGGTGTGTACAGCTCCTGGCGGCGGACGGGCGCGGCGGCGTGCGTCAGATGTCGGCACTGCTGCAGGCTTGGGGTCGTAATCTTCCATCGTTATTGTCACCTGTTGGTTTTAAAGGGAATCAATTTCACTACTGGACATATTCTCTCATTTGTTCCAAGGGGTTTCAGCAAATGGAAGAAATGGGAACCCCCGGATCCAAGTAGAAGCCCTGGTCAATTTTGAAAGATGGGGGGTGGGTGGCTCCTTTTAGTCGGGACTGAGCGTCTTTTTGAAGGGGACGCAGGCCCTATCATCTTAGAAGAAGAGCAGGGCTTTTTGTTCAAATTGTGGGCGCCCGCGTCCCTTCACGGACCAATGTCGGAACACTGCAATCAGGCTCCTCGTTTTACCCCACGGGGCCCGACAGAGAGTTCCATTTGTTGGACAAGGTCGACTCCCATCAGCTTCTGTTTTTCGTGGGAGTATCATGAGCAAGCCCCTGGGTTTGGAACAAATCAGCCAATTTCTTGGGTTTGCAAAAACCCTCCAAGCAACGATTGCTATGGCTTCACGCGCGAATTTGTTAGCCCCTGCGTTTTGGGCCAAAGACTCGAAGCGGGCTGTTACAAAGCGGCGTTTTCTGGGTGTTTTCATGAACTGTTCGCAACATCCCCCGGCGGCTTTGGGGTTTAGGCCGATGGCTGCCAAAGCTTTGAAGTCCGCCAGGTGGCCTGTGCCCAAGAGGACCGCGACTTGGAAAAGGCGGGACGTGCGGAACACGACGCCAAAAGGCCTCCCAAGGGGCCCGAAGTGGCCATAGGTTTGGATCTCAAGGGGGATTTTTGGTTTCACTTGAGTTCCTGGACTTTTTGGGGGTTTTCAGGGGGTACAACGCGCAGTTTGGACGTTTTTGTTCAGCCCATCCACTTGGGAAGTGAGCCTCGAGGCAACCACAGCGAGTGAGAAAGCTGAAACAATCACAAGTGTGGGCTTGTGCAACCTGACTTGGCGACCATGTTTGGTCTGTGGGGTTTTCGCTGTCTTTTGTTAGCAGTTGCTGCAACAAAGAAAGTACCTTAGCGAGGGTTGGAAAGGGGTCTAAAAAGTCAACCCGTTATTTCTGGGACCATTTTGGGCAAGCCATTTTATCAAACCATATCAAAACCATTGATGCCGTTGTTTGTCCAAGGTAGCCTGGCTGCACAACGATTTTGCTAGTTGGCTTCCCTGTCTACTTAAAGTCGCAGCCCCGAAAGATGATCGCCTTGTCCTTTTGGCATGTCAGGTATATGACAGATCCGTAGGGTTTCCCACAAGTGTGGCAATCTCTGGGGGGCACGCCACGCTTTTCCTGGGAAAAGACCGAGCAACAACACACAAGCCTCAGGAACAAGCAAACAAGCAACGCAAGCCTGGCATGCTTCTTGCTTATACAGGACACGGCCGTGGGTTCCATGCATCTTGGCTGGGCAGTGCCGACAACAGTTCCGAACGAACAAGCCGCGCCGCGTGTCAATCCAGGAAGATCCCATGAGCTCAGCTGGGCATGGGATTCCGCTTGAAGGTCCCTGTGAAATCTGGCTACCCACTGCCTTAAGTATGGTTGATTTCGGGGGGGGGATGGAGAACAGCATTACAATTTTGTCTTTATGGGGAACACTAGACAATGGAATTGGGGCACCCCCACCCCCCCCACCGTAATCTGGCAAATCGTAATCTGGCCAGATTGATGCACAGGCCGTGCCGAAATGGCGCCGATTTTGCCAGGTCAAGGATGCTGTAAAAGAGATCAGCTCTGTGGCAAAGTATGCGCACCGCTTCAATTACCACGTCGCACCTCGGCAAAAGGGCGCGCGTGTGCGGCTATGTGCCTTGGTGCATGCGTGCATGCACGCATGCGTGCGTGCGTCTGTGCTTGCGTGTGCGTGTGCATTTGCGTGCGCGTGCGCGTGCGTTCGCGTGCGTTTGAGTGTGTGCTAGAAGTTTGCAGCCTTTCCTTTTGGGTTCGAAGAGAAATCAACGTGAAAACAGACGACCATGTTGGAATGCATTTTCCTTCAGCTTGCCTTAAACAGGAAAGTGTTCAGTTTTCTCTTGGTGTCCTCCTAGCACGCCTGTTTGGGCATGTCAAAATACAAGAATCGAGACAAGGCGCCCCCTTTCGGGATAGGGCGCAAGGCTGCGTGTTGTATTGTGCTGGCGACCAAAGAGTGAAGCGAAGAGTAGAACTTGATGTCAAGGCCAACTCCGATTCTGCATTGTCCAAGCTTCGTCCCTTGGCACTTCGCCGGAGTAAGCCTGCGACGCGGGACAAGGATACCCTGACCGCTGCCGCGGCAATTTGTTGTTACTTTGAAACCAAGGGAAAAACTGCAGTTGGGCCCGGTGCAGTTGGGGCGTCCTTTGTCATTTTCCTGCTTAAACTCACGAAGTGAGTTTTGCGTTTGCCGGTGAAGAGAGCTCAAGGCCCAAGCAGTGGGCGAAGAACCCGCCAACATCCCGGCGATCCGCGTGGCCTCGTCCGCCGCGTGCTTTGCGCTTTGGCATGCCCTTGGTTCGGGGTTTCAGGGCATGGGGCATTGGGACGGCGTCTTTATTCTTACCTGCGAATGAAGCAGAACTGAACAGGCGAATGGTAGCTTCAAATGAATCTTGAGGATTCAACAGGTGACTCGTCTGACTTTAATGACGGCGTGGGGCATTGGGACGGCGTCTTTATTCTTACCTGCGAATGAAGCAGAACTGAACAGGCGAATGGTAGCTTCAAATGAATCTTGAGGATTCAACAGGTGACTCGTCTGACTTTAAAAAGGAAAGCGCGCCGTCGTGGGGACAATATGGTTTGCTTCGGCGCCTTTTCAGGCGCACTTTCAGCCTGAAAGCTTGAGGTGCTGGACAGTGTCAACCCGCGAGTGGCCGACGCTGGCGACACAGCTATCCTGAGCCTTTGCTGCACCCGCAGGTGTCCTTTTCAGAGTTTGGTTGCACACTGCTGCTGGTTTCAGCTTCGCATTCTGCTTAATCTACGACAGCTTAGGACCTTCTTTGACGCCAAGAACGTGACAAAGTTCGTTTTCGAAGGCGGGCGGCGCAAAAACGCCTCAAAAGGGACCTTGATCCAAGGAGACCTCCGTTTTGGCCCCACCTTTTCAGGCCCTTTCACAGCAAATGCTTCGTTTCTTGTTGGTTTCCCCTTAAACTAACCCGCCCCCCTAAACAAAAGGAGAAAGAACAAGAAGGGCAGATAAACCAAACAAACACCTGTTTGCTGCATGGATGTGTCTTTTTGCGTGGGGCCATCTTCCTTTTGTTTCCTTTTCAACCACCAAAAACGCGACCCCCCCGGGAAGAAACACACACCTTGGACTCTTTTGGAGTGGTGTCAAAATAAATCGAACGAGAAAAACACCACGGAAGGGGGGACAAATCCCTTATTCAACACACAACCTCATGGGTTCATGGTTAAGCCAAAAGGGCGACATCCCTGGAATCCGACCGTAGTTTGAGAGTGATGATGCCCTCTTTCTGGGCAGAAAAGTTGAAACGGAGCTGGCTCTTTGGGGGGAGGCCCGCAGGTTCGAGGGTGGGCTGGGGATACGTGGGCGCAGCCCAGCTGCCTCCATGTGGTTGACAGCACGCGACACGCGACACGCGAGGCACGGGCCTGGCCCGCTGGCCTCGCCACTTTTTTTTTGCTTCTCGTTTGTTTGCGCCCCTTGGCGGTTTGGTTTTTCGCCCCCCTGGAGAGTAAAAAAACGGGTTCTCTTCCGGTGATGGATTTCCGCTTGAAACTAAGAGGGGGACATTTTCCCGACATATTCTTTCAGGAAATGGACGTTGCGGACTCGGCCCAGCGCCTGGGGAACTCAAAGGGTTTCAGTCTTTGTTGCTCACATCAGCCTTGGGGCACAGCACCTTCAAGCCTCCCAAGGCGGAGAAGACTTCGAGGAGCTGCCGCAGGCCTTCTTCCACTTTGTGCTTTGGAGCTCCGGTGGGAAGGCCCCTGCGAGAGCGCGAGATGGCTGGCCATCGTGGGGGTTTAACCGCGTTTGTTTGACACGTTTCGTCGAAAAGCCGGCTTTTTGGGAAGTCTGATGCCAGTCCCAGTCACAGGCATGGCACCTTGAGTATGGAAAGGGGATTTCCAACAGCCATTGTTTGCGGAGGACGGGGCAGAAGGTGACAACTCTCACAGAAACGACCCCAACTACTGAAAGACCAAAGGGTACCAGGGACCGCCCGTGTCACTTTTGAAGTGCTGAGTTTTGCTGGCGGAATCAAGAGCCGTGAGAGGCACTGTTTCTGGAAAATTAGGGGCTGTGCCTTCCTGGTTGTTGGCGTCTTGTTTTGTTGCCACCCTGTATTTTATGGCTCTTTGGACTTCATGTTTTTTGGAAACGGAGGGCTTTCCATTGGACCCACGAACAGCGAACAACTGTTGGCAGAGGGGTCAACAGCCACCAAGGCTTGACTATTTACCTGCTCATCGGAAAAGAGCTGCTTCCCCAAAAGCAGGGTTTCCTCCATGTCCTTTTTTGCTTGACTGCTGGGTTGGATCTGTAGACTTCAAGTTTTTGGGAAGTCAAGGGGGTTGCCACTAAACCCAGTTGAGCTTTCTGCAGGGTCAACAGCAACCACGGTTTGACCATTCCCCTGCTCCAGAGTTTCCTCCTTTGACCTCCAGCGGCGGAAGCCACCGGTCAGTTGGCTCGCCGCGCGCGAGGAGCTCCTCGCGGACCTGCAGGGCGCGCTGAAGGGGCGCCTTGGGCCGCAGGAAGCCGCCGGGGAATTTTTTGGGCCGCTCGAGCCGGTTTCGAAGGGGCCCAGGAGCCGGGGTTGGAGATGGGTTCCTGGTGGGAGTTGTGTTGGTTCGTTTTTTGTTTCTTTTTTTGTTCTATTTCTTCTTGTTTCTCCGTTTTTTTTTTGTTTTTTTTTTTGGGGGGGGCAAGGTTGGAATGTCCTGAGCCACCAAACCGAGCTCGAAACCTATCAAATGGTCGCCCAACAAAAACATGTATCCAACCCATGGGATCGTTTTTTGCCACGGGAACCAACCAGGAAATTCCAACGTTGCCAAAAAAGAACACATCCAACTCATGGAGTCGAAAATCAACCAAAGTCGAGCCATGATGCAGGGATCCCCCTAAATTTGCTACAGAAAGCCCTTTGGCTTCAGGGTCCGAAGCTATGCTAAATCATGCAGACAGATGGAACACAGATCCCCTTAATCCTCCTCTGTGGCATCCCCATGCCTTGTGTTTTGCGCGAGCAGCCCAGGGGAAACAGCCACGATCTGTTCAACGGCGTTTCCCTTGGGTTTTGAGACAGCCCTGGCCCATGGCGTTTAAACGTTGATCCGTATGTGCTAGCTGGGGATTGCAAGGGAGCCGAGGAGTTGGGTGTTGAAGTGTGCCGCTAAAGCGGGAGCTTACGAGCGACCAGAAGTCCTGAAAGGACATGGTGGTGTGTCCACAAACCCCACCCAAGGAAAAAAGCACACACACACACCAAAAAGAAGCAACAAGACATGGTGTGTCCGCAGACCCCCCCAAAAAAAACACAAAAACAACCCAAAACATCATCTTGCCCAAAGCTTTGGCCGAACTCCGGTGTTGATTCAGACCTAAACAGGCGCAATAGGGACAGGTCACTGTGGAGAAGCCTGCGAGTCGGGACAAGTGAGAGATCCCACCTGTTCAGGGGCATCCTCATCCCTTGCGGAGTCGAGCAACATGTTAGACCCAAAACGGATTCAAGCCACAATCAAACCCCCAAGAGGTTAGAGAGGGATAGGCCTTCACTGTTGTTGGTGTGTACTTTTAGCTTGTTAGTTTTCGAAGGTTAGAGAGGGATAGGCCTTCACTGTTGTTGGTGTGTACTTGTAGGTTTGAGGCTTTTTGGTTCTGTTCATTTTTTGGGGAACATGTTGTTTTGCTGCCATACCCGTGTTCCCTTCACTCCTTCTACCCAACGCGCTCGCTGACGTTGGGTCCAATGCGTCCGAGGCAGGACTTTGTGCTGGTTGACCCAGCGCCAGCCTCGGATTTGCGGTGGAACCCCGGCTCTTCAAGAAACTGCAGCACATGTTCAAGCTTCTACTTGCTTAATAATTATTGTTTTACTTCCACTGGTTTTAAAGGGAATGCATCACTACTGGAAATATTTCTAGATTTTTAGATTTTTTATTATATATTTTTCTTGGGCCTTAGGCAAATGGAGGCAAAATGGAGGCAAGTGGACGGCTCCTTGACTGCCGAACCCCCCCAGGCCCCAGCAATCTTTTCAAGTGATCGGCTCCTGCAATTTTAATTTGCGGAGCCACCCATCAGGTAAAGCCGCTGTTCATCCAGGCTTGAGGTTACACTGTTACACCTGTTCGCACCTGTTGGACAGGTCGAGCATTGATCCCCCCCTATGCTGCACGTCTTCTCGTGTCAGAGGGTTGCGCTACGGAGAGGCGCCGAGCAGGATCAACCGTCAGGCCATGTGAAAACAATGCGGACATTTCCGCGTCTCTCCTGAGGCGTGCACGCGCCCAGGCGTCAAAGAACTGCGACAAGGGTCACTTTACCTGTTCAGTCTTGCAACCCCCAAGGCTCGGATCGTGCCTTGAGGGACCTGGCAACCGCGGCCTTTGTCTTTTGATTATGGGCCACAAAAGTGGCCCCAAACTTGACTGCCACTGGCTCGGATCTTCTGAACCTTGAACTTCTGCGTGTGTGTGTGTGTGTGTGTGTTCCCCACGTTGAAACCTGCTTGCAATCGTCACACAAGTGAGCCAGGAACAAGCACCAAGCAAGCGAACGAGCGAGCAGTGGGCAGACAAAGCAGAAGCCGCACGCTTCGCTGAGGTCTTGCTGCGGGGCGCGGAAATGGCCATTGCGGACGTCATGGCGTTGCCGGGGCCACAGGTCTGGTTGCGATGGGAGTTTTCACCTGTCGGAGTCCCGATGCGCAGCCGTGGGGTAGAAGGTTAAGAAACAGAGGGGTCAAAAGGGTACATGGGTGGGTCTGTTTTCGAGGGTTGCCTTAAACACCAAAAATTGTACCCTCAAAACAAAACACTCTTACATGGGTTTTTCAGGGGGCTTGCCGATCTTATTGTCCAGGTTCGGGCAAGTGCGTACCACGGTTGGGCAGCCCTCTTTCAGGGAAGTTGGGGAAGTAGGGTCTATGCATGTCCTTTTAATCATGTTTAAACTTCGGATAGGTGTCTGAGGCTGTTTTCCTTTTTTCTTCTTTTTTCCCGGGTACATTCGTTCTTTGGCACGTCCCTTCACACTTGTCTAAGCGACAATTGTTTTGACTACCTTCTTATTCCCCTTCGCGGCCAGGGCCCAGGTTTTGCAACAAGCACCCCCTGGTATGCACGGCCGGCTTCTCATGGACGGTCGCCAAATAGAGCATTTGGACCAAACACCTTCTTGGTCGGTATTCAACACTAACATCAAGGAAGGCCAACCGTTTTAGGGGCTAACACCCGCAGTGGATAAACTCATATAAACTCCCACAGGCTCAGGGATTGTTTGAGCCGCGCGGTCGCTAGGAGCTCTTCCGGCGAACTGCCGAACCCAAACCAGCAGAGGCTGGAGAGTGGATGGATTCGGGGCCAGGTAGTGGTCACAGTCATGGCTTCAACCCATTTGTCTCAGATCTAACTCTGGGGTAGATTCCGTAGATGTCCGTGGATGAAGGTCAAGTGACCATCCCAATCATAAATAAGTCCGCCGGCACTCGTGTTTGCATGGTCTCATTTGCCGCACGGTTGCAATGGTATTTGCCCTACATGTTTGGGGCGAAGCGCGCAGGGAACTGTTGGATGGATTTAGGACCCAGAAGTTCAATCAGGCACATGTTGCTTTGGGTACAGCTGGAGGTGTCCGGATGGGAAATCAAAAGCAAGCCAGCAGCCCGGCGGCCCCCTGTAGGAAGAACCCTTGCTTCGTTTTAATGGTTGAACCCTGGATTAATACACCTCTGGTTGGGAAACAGGGGTGTGTCCCCTTTATGTGGGGGCTCATCCCTTTGAGGGGAAGACCCTGTGACCTCTTTTTTTTCCACGTCCGGTTGTCTTAAGTTTGGTTAGGGAATGTTAGGGAAGCAAGTTTGCACTCAGGCATTTGCACATCGGCCCAAATCGCAAGGAAAGGGGGACAACATAATGAACACATTGAAGGCTTTGCGGTTCATCGCACCTCTTGCCAGGTTCGATCTGTGGCACCCCCGATGTGGCCAGCGCCGGCCTCGAGGGAGGAGGGGGTACAAATGTGGGGCCCGTAAAGGCAGCGCGTGGTTCAGCGTCACTTAAAGGATGCATGTGGGCCCAGCAAAAAGAAGGGTTCCCCTATTTTCTGGGGAATTGTTTTCCGGTTTTTCGGCGTATTTTTTTCTAGTTAGACCAGCAAGAAAGCAAGCAAGGGGTTAGCCGTAACCGAGGGCTTGCTAGCAAGCAAGCAAGCAAGTAGGCAAAGCAAGGAAGCAAGCAAGCAAGCAAGCAAGCCAGCAAGCCAGCAAGCAAGCAAGCATTTGGAGCAAGTTGGCAAACCAAGCACGCAAGCAAGCAAGCAAGCAAACGCAGAAGCAAGCCAGCCAGCAGTCAATCACCCCCAAGTCAAACAACCCTGAAAGAGCCCAACAGGTCAGCAAAACAATACCAAAGAACCCAACCAACAGCCCAGCAGTGCAACAACCCAGCAAAACCAAGAACCCAACCAACAGCTTAACAGCCAGCAGCCCAACACCACCAGCTCCCCGGTCAGCCCCAGCAGCACAAGCCCTAAACCCTCAACCCTAAACCCAGCAAGCCTAATAGGCAGACCTAACAGTCGACAGCCCACCAGCCCAACAGCCCAACCCAACAGCTCAACAGCCCAGTAGCCCAACAGCCCACCAGCCCAACAACAGCCCCAGCCCAACAGCAAAAAGCAACAACAGCCCAACAACTCAGTAGCCTAGCAACCCAAGAACAACTTGACCCAATTACAAACATGAATCCCAGCAGCAGAAATAGAACCCAACTGTAAAACAAACTTCCAGCCCACCAGCCCAACAGCCCAACAGCCAAGCAGCAAAAAGCAACAACAGCTCAACAACTCAGTAAAACAACCCAGCAGCCTAACAACGCAAGAACAACCCAACCCGACCACAAACCTTAATCCCAGCAGTAGACATGAACCCAGCAGTTGACCAGAACCCTAAACCCTAAACCCAGCAAGCCTAACAAGCAGACCCAACAGTCAAACCTAAACCCAACAACAGCCCAGCAGCAAAAAGCGACAACAGCCCAACAACCCAGTAGCCCAACAGCCCAAGAACAACCTAACCCAACCACAAACCTTGCTCCCAGCAGCACTAGTAGAACCCAACACAGTCAAACAACCCTGACAGCCCAACAGCCCAGTAGCCCAACAACCCAGTAGCCCAACAAGCCAAGAACAGCCTAACCCAACCACAAACGTTGCTTCCAGCAGCACTAGTAGAACCCAAAAGTCAAACAGCCAGTAGCCCAACAACCCAACAACAACCAAACCCAAACCTTAAACCTTAAACCCAACAACAGCCCAGCAGCAAAAAGCAACAACAGCCCAACAACCCAGTAGCCCAACAGCCCAAGAGCAACCTAACCCAACAGCAAACCTTGCTCCCAGCAGCACTAGTAGAACCCAACACAGTCAAACAACCCTGACAGCCCAACAGCCCAGTAGCCCAACAACCCAGTAGCCCAACAAGCCAAGAACAGCTTAACCCAACCACAAACCTTGCTCCCAGCAGCACTAGTAGAACCCAAAAGTCAAACAGCCAGTAGCCCAACAACCCAACAACAACCAAACCCAAACCTTAAACCTTAAACCTTAAACCCAACAACAGCCCAGCAGCAAAAAGCAACAAGAGCCCAACACCCCAGTAGCCCAGCAACCCAAGAACAACCGAACCCAACCACAAACCTAGCTCCCAGCAGCGCTAGTAGAACCCAAAGTCAAACAACCCTGACAGCCCAACAGCCCAGTAGCCCAACAACCCCGTGGCGCAACAACCCTATTCCCAGCAGCAGAAGTTGAACCCAGCAGTCAAACAACCCTGACAGCCCCAACAGAGCGCCCAGAAGTCGAACAACCCTGAAAGAGCCCAGCAGGTCAGCAAAAACATACCAAAGAACCCTAAACCCTAAACCCAGACAACTCTGACAGCCCACCAGCCCAACAGCCCAACCCAACAGCCCAACAGCTTAAAAACCCTGCCCAACAGCTCAACAACCCAACAGCCCAACAGCCCAACAGCCCAGTAGCCCAACAGCCCACCAGCCCAACAACAGCCCCAGCCCAACAGCAAAAAGCAACAACAGCCCAACAACTCAGTAGCCTAGCAACCCAAGAACAGCTTGACCCAATTACAAACATGAATCCCAGCAGCAGAAATAGAACCCAACTGTCAAACAACCTTCCAGCCCACCAGCCCAACAACCCAACAGCCAAACAGCCAAACAGCAAAAAGCAACAACAGCCCAAGAACCCAGTAAAACAACCCAGCAGCCTAACAACGCAAGAACAAACCCAACCCGACCACAAACTGGAAAAAAAGCCCCAAAAAACTGGAAAACAATTCCGCGAAACAGAAAACCACCAAAAAGAAGCCGTTCCAGGCTAACCACATTTTGGAACCTGAGGGAGGGTATTTGGAGGACAAGTTCCGGTTAAAGGTGGATTCTGTGGGTGGGTGGGAGTGTTTTCGGTGTCATGACGAAAATGCCCCATGGGGTCAGGTTTACATGAGCATATTTGCCCCCGAGGTTTCCGGTCTGCCCCCCCTCCCACCACCATGGCACCCTCGACGGGTGCATGGGTCCCTTCCACGTGCCGCGTCCTGCCTGGCGAGGGAGAGAGTCAAGGAGTCCCACACTTGGGTCAGTCTCGCGTTTCCCCTTAGGCAGGTAGAAGTTTGAAGCAAGCCACCCTCCCAGCCTTTTCACAGGGAACCTGACGTTCGGGTCCTGGAAATGAAGACCATGATTGTCGTTTCAAAGGGACCCTCTGTCAGGTTCCGTGTTTTCATCGGTGGGAGGCGTATTTGCATGTTCAACGAACCGCTATGAATTGGCGGTCGCTCATGTTGATCACGTCCACTTCTGGAAGGGAGGCCCTGGGGTTCAAACCGCCATTAAAACAACGGGCTTCATATGGGTGTGGCTCAAAATTTAAGAGCTGGGGTTTACGCGGGTTTTGGTCCATGTTTCCACTTGCCAGGGTATCAGTTTGGTAGCGGCTTTTTGAGCCACAGCCATATAACCATTGTTTGCCTAAGGATCGTCATCATCTAAATCGGGTCCTTGCCTTTGTTTTAGTGGGGGTTGAACCCCAGGGGAGGGGAGCAGTCGCTAGGCTCTGCCGCAGCTTCGACCCCTCGCGGCGCACAAGCAGCACCAGGCGCGGGAGCTTTGCAGTGGACTGCCACAGGTTTTCCAAATGGCCATGGGGCAATAGAATAGACTAAAATGGGTGGTGCGCCTATTCCAAAATGGTACACTTGGTTTTGAACCACGGCCAAATGGGTGGCTTGATGTCGTGTTTGTGGGTCTTGCGGGCCGGGTCTGAAAGCATGAGGGAAAAGATGACGAAACCCCATTGACTTTGGGTGATCTCCGCTTCATTGACTTGCGCTTTCCACTTGACCTTGTGGTTCATGTCATGGCCGAAAACCGGTTGGATCAGAGCATCCAAAGCTCCAGCAACCCCTCGGCACCTTCCGTCCTGCCAGGCGCGCTTGTGGCCTCCGCCCCTCTGGCGCGTTTAAACCACCTCCGGCCGGCGGTGGTTTCTCAGGAGTCTGGCTGGGGTTCGGTTGGGATACCTAGAGATTCGTTGCGGCAGAAATTTCTGCCGCAAATAAAAAAAGGCGCCTTTTTGGATTTGCGGCATTTCTTCCTGATTTGCGGCGTTTTTTTAGAATTGCGGCAGAACTTGTTTTCAGTTTTTTCTACCCCCCCGGCAAAAATCGGCGGGAATGCGGCGGAAATCGGCGGGAATGCGGCGGAAATTCCCGGAAAGCAAACGGTGTTGCGGCGTTTTTGTTTTGGTTGCGGCGGTTTTTGTTGTTTGCGGCTGATTTTCTGGAATGCGGCGCGAATTTCCGCCGCAATGCGTTGCGGCAGAAATTTCCGCCGCAGGAAGTTCTAGGTATGTTGGGATCCATTTTCCGAAATGAATATTTTATATGTTCCCCTGCTGGTTTTAAAGGGAATCGATTTCACGACTGAATTTTATTTTTTGTCCCCCCTCTGGGGGGCTTAATTACATGGAAGGTTGCGATCAACAGGTTATGAAGTGATATCCGGGAGGTTGGTACAAGCGGGGGTGGGTAGTTGAGAGCCCTAGAATTCCCTAGACAATTTTCTAAGCAAGGGCGTTGGGAATAACAACCCACTTTTCGCTGCAGGTGGAGGTCTGGGGTTTATGGGCGGCCCCCTCTTCTCTTCGAGCAGATTCTCTCCGCGCTAGCAAGCCAACCTTATCCAAATGCGCATCTTTCTCTTACCCGCGACTTATTCTCGTGAGTGGATCGCCCATGACAACATGCACTTTCTCTTGTGGGCAACTTGCCCTTTTTCCAGCACAGGGACCACAACGAGGCTGACTGCAGCCAAATCAGTTCCCTTCCCATTCAGTCTTGTTGGTGGCGACCATTATCACCTCCCGCTTTCTTAAACGGTGGAAGTGGGAAGGAGGGCGGGACATGCGCATGTTGCCCTTGGGGGGGGTGGAAGTTGGGAGGAAAGGCTTTGCTCAGCTTTCAAGGAAACCAACAGACTGACAATGCTTTACGTTTTCCAGACCCGTTCTTCCATACCTTAGCGCTTCCTGTGCTTGTGCAGCCCCCTGGTTCAGTGGACCTAGGCAGATGGCAGACACAGGCTGCTCCCTTTGGTAGGGGGGCTATCTTAAAACCTTACCTCTTAAAAATACAACTTTTCAATTGTTTGGGTAACATGGGCTATATGTCTGTAAAAGATTAACTTCCCCAACCCTTGGAGTTTTAAGGGGTAAGAAACCGTTCAAAGACAATGGCCAGCAAGGCAAGGGATGGTCACCCTGCAATGTACCGGTTGCACAGGGTGGCTGTGCTTGGAATCATCTGCCCCCCACCCCCCCCCCTCCCCAAAAAAAGAAGAAGAAAAGTAACACCAATAAATGAATAAATTGAATAAATAAATAAATAAAACTTGGGGGAATTGACCGCAAGTACCTGGATCTCGCTCGCACCCGGACCGGCCAGCTCTGAACTGCGGCGTTGGGGGCGGCTGAGCGGTGCAGGGAGCCCTTCCTCCACAAGCCACCGCCGAAGGGCCGGCCCCACTGCCCCTCTGCAGTTTGCAAAAAGGGCTTGGGCCAAGGTGAGGAATCAGCCTTGGGCTGCCGGAACCAAAAGGGCATAAGAATCCGCATTTCATAGGTGCCCTTCTTGGTTGTTTTGCTCGAAAAATGGATGGCGATTCCTGGTTTACCTGGTGGTTTAATCATCTTCCAGGGCCATCTATTCCCCCTGCAAGGACACCTGTGCTTGCTTGTTTCTCAACAGTCTGAACTATGGAGTGTTCCCTTCTCGGCGTGCCTGTTCAGATTCCACATGTTGACAGGGTTCTTCGTCATAGCTCCGTCTAGTTTTGCTGGCCAGTGGATTTAGCAGGGCAGTTGAGGGCGGTGGTGTGGGGGTAAGGTTGGCCCCGGATTAGCGAGAACGTTCCGTCCTATTAATAAACGTATGAATGGTGTTCCCCTGCAAAAGGGATGATTCCTTACTGAAAGGGGACCCCGACCAACAATTCAAGGGTTTACTATTCCGGGGTTCCCATTAGCAGACGCTTTCTCAGATTGCACGGGTCGAGGTGCAAAGCACACCTTGCAATTCAATGTGGCTGGCCCTTGCAGCGCCCAGAGCACGGCGATGTGAGGAGTCAGACAGGGGGCTCAACCACACACACTGCAAGGGATAGGTGCCTCTGATTTCATGTAGGTAGAGAAAAGGATGGATGGATGGATGGATGGATGGATGGATGGATGGATGGATGGATGCATGGATGGATGGATGGATGGATGCATGGATGGATGGATGGATGCATGGATGGGTGGGTGGGTGGGTGGATACATATTAGATAGATATGATATTTGTTTCCCCCCAAACCCCCCCCCCCCCCCCAAAAAAAAATGAATAAATAAATAAAATGAAAAAATAACAATAAATCAAAAGCGAGTACAGTAGAAAGGTGCTCCATGTCCGTGCGTAGTTCCAATTACAATCTGTTTCAATTCTTATTTATAGGATTCCAGCTGCGTTGTAATTCAACTCTATTCAGATAACAGGTGGAACGCAGTTCCTATCGAATTTATACGTTGCATATCTAGTTTGATTTAAACTTGGTCAAAGTATGAGATGGCCAATTCCATGTCCTTATGCATTCGGAATAATCAATCCACTGAAGAGAACAACTCTTGAAACTGCTGATTTATATTGAAACTCGTCATGTCAGAAGCTTAAGCGTCCTTACCTGTGTCCATGCAATTTTAACGGAGCCCGAACAGAGCCATGTCAACAACAGCAAAGTGTTTCAAACAACATGGATCTGCCCATCACCAAACAATGCAGCCCGATTCCGCATGTATTGGTGTTCGTCGAAGTCTTCCTGCCGCAAGTTTCGACGGGCGACGACCGCGGGATTTCTCAGCATGTGTCTGATCACCGTTCCTCCCCTATACTATCTAATTTTAGCAAAGGGCGAACAGAGCCATGTCAACCCACATGGATTTGCCCATTGCCAAGCCAATGCAGGAAGCGCGGTATTGTTCACCGTTCCTCACCTCAAACAAAGTCGAGCTGGGCGGAGTGAGTCATTTTTGCCGTCAAACATGCGGGTCAAATTGGACACCTCCTAGGTCGAACAAGAAGGGATACTACCCTCCATGTCAAAGAGTTTGGCTTCTGGAACTTCCATGCGCTTAAGAATATTTCTTATTTTCCCTTGTCGGTTTTAAAAGGAATTTACCACTACTGGAAATATATTTTTTCCAGGGGTCTCAACCAAATGGAAGGGAAGCACTTCGATGTTTTGGGCATGCGTATCCGAGGCTTTTAGTGGTGCGCAACATGTTACACATGATGCCCAACGCTCTCCCAGAATTAGCGGATTAAAAAGCAAACAGCAGCTACCCCCCACCATGGCTGGAATGCCGTGCTTTTGTCCATTTCAAAATCTGCCAAATACCGCGGATTTTTTTCACTGGACCAAACGAAAGAAAACCACGAACACTAGAACCATTTCAGTCATAGTTGGGGGCGCGATTAGGTTTTTGTGTCGTTCTTTGCCTCAATCTTTTTTGGACATGGGTGTTACAGTGTTATGAAGTATCTCGGAGCCCGAACTGCTAAATCTTGTGGACGGAGTTTTGTGGGGGGGTTGGGGCCAAATAAAAAGTCAGTAGAAGGTAGTTTTCTAATTCTTGTGGGGGGGACCACTAAATACCGTAAATATAATATGTTTATATGACACGCAGGTGGGATAAGCAGGTACATATCAGGGATGCCTGGGTACTTGGTTGAGCCCTTAGACAATGATATCCAAGTCAGCACGCCAAGTTGCTGGCCCGAGCGCTCGGTCAAAAGATGTTGGCCTCGCTCCCTGAGTTCCTGGCCCCCCACCCCCCCCCCCCCCAGTGTAATTGTTCGATCCATTGAGAATGTAACCACTTCAAGTCCCACCATGGAAATACACAATGGGTCTGAAACACACATTTTGGTGGCAAATCAGTGCAATTTGTTGAGCCCTTGAGAATGTAACCGCTTCACTCCCCACACAATGGAAATCAGAAGTTAAGACATTTTTTGGCCAATCCTCTCGGGAAGTGAGGAGTTCATGGGCGTTTCGAGTCCCATCCACTCAGGAAGTGACATTCGGAGCGAGGGCTTGCAAAGACATGCGGATTTTTTGGAGGGGTTAGAAAGGGAGCCAGGAGGAAAAGCAGCCGTTTGTTCGAGACAGATCCATTGACAATTCAAATGGTAAATTTAATTTGAGATTGTCTTGAATGGCCTTGTTTTCGGCAAGTTCTTTTCCAAATTTCGTGTCACCATGATGTTGAGCATCATGGTTTCCTGGTTTCATCCTGGAACCTGTGAAGCAGCCAAGAACCCATCCCAGCCTCTTCAAGTATGAGACCTTCACGAGGGAAGTAGGATCATGAGAGGGACAGTTGCTTGCGTGTGTTGCCGTGCCCCCACTTTCTTGCGAATGTTGTGCTGTCTCGCTGCAGTCCCTGGTGAGTAGGGCTCAAAGTGGCCGCTTGATTGGAGCCGGGGATGTAGCCAGCGCCCCAGCTTTGAATTTCTCGGCGGAGGGGTTTCGTGGTTGGCTTGGGGCGCTGCTTTCGGCTTCCCTTTGAACACCAAAACTCACTCCCTGAGTTGCTTGACTTAAAGCTTGTTGGGAAGACCATTGTAGCGGCAAAAAATGACTTTTTTGCCAATCCACTCAGCAAAAAGAGAAAAGGGAGCCTCTTCACGCAAGAGGCACTGCCAGGAATGTGGGCAGTGGGGCTTGGGGCATGTGTTGCTCAGGAGCGGTCCATGTGCGAGAGGCAGCCGCCCTCTGAGAGTGGCTTGGCTGCGAATCCGATTCAAACCAGGGGCTCTCTTTGGAAAGCACCTACTAGATGGATGGGTGGGTGGAGGATGGATGCATGCATGGATGGATGGATGGGTGGTGCCCCAGCCTGCCCTTGGACGATTTTTGTTTCTCTCAAGCAAGCCTGCCTCTAAGCAAGCCCACCACCCGAGGACAAGTCCAACCTTTGGTCACCAATGAGCGGCTACATCTACACTTCATGGTTGTTGGGAAACATTTTACATTTTTGCTTATTGTGGTCTAGTGCTTGAAATCCAGCCACTTAACTGCTAAAATTTGAGAATTTTTGCTCCCCAACGTCCACCAAGTACACGACTCTCCGCTTAAGGATCACACTCGCCGGTTTTCAGGTCCCATGCCACGGGCTTCCATGGACGCTGCTTCTGGTCAGCGGTGCAAAACCGGCTTTCTGAGAAGCCCTTCAAGTGAGAAGCCCTTGCATTGAAAAGAAAGCTCTGGCCCAAAAACAAAGAAGAAAGAACAGAAGAAGGTGCTTGAGTCTGCTTAGGGGTCTCGAATTGTCGATGCCCAGAGGATCTTAGAAACATCTCGAAACCAGCAAAGTTCAGGGACCTAGAGACCCCTCTAGTCGACTCGACTTTACAGGGGGTCTAATGGAACTTTCCACTCTTTAACTAATGCAGGGTAGGCTCAAACCCCGTTTGGGTGGCTCATTGCCCAAAGGAGAACCCTGGGTTTAAGTCTACCTCAGGGACTTCCTTCCGCGTTTCAGAATAATGTTTTGTTTCCTTTGCTGGTTTTAAAGGGAATCAATTTCACTATTGGAGATCTTTCTAATTTTTTACAGGGGGCGACCATGCGAATGGAGGAGACCACATATCCCGAAAAGGAGAAGCCACCAAGAAGAGCAAAGATCAATGAGCCCTAGATAAGGTTTAAGTACCAACAAGATATGTTAGCCCTAGATGGCTGTGGCTCAAAAAACCGGTACCCAAACTGGAACCCTGGCAAGTGGAGACATGGACCAAAACCTGCGTAAACCCCAGCTCTTAAATTTTGAGCCACCTTCCGACGGAGGCCATGAACAAGGCGCGGGCCATGCTCGACGCGCTCATGGGACCCAACCGCGACGAGAAGACCGACACGGCCAAGGCGATGGTCGGATCTTTTGTTGTTTTGTTGGAAGTCTGTGTTTCTAGACATATATATGTTTACACATTTTTCTGTTTGTTTGTTTGCTTGCTTGCTTGCTTGTTTGTTTGTTTGTTTGTTTGTTTGTTTGTTTGTTTGTGTGTGTGTGTTCATTTGTTTGCGCTTGTTTTGTTAACAATATGTGTGTATGTATGTGCGTCTATATCTATAATAGATCTACCCATATACCATCCCGCGTAGGTAGTGGGCGTATAGTGGTGCTTGGTGACGCCAAATCCCTGCCCCGAAAACTCTCTTTGAAACCCGTCTTTGTACGGCCGCGGGGGGCGGCGGGAACTTGCCTCTCCAAAAATGGCCTCACTCCCTGGCCTGAGTACATGGGCTCTTTCCTTTTCGGGAAGACCAGCTTAGTGGCTATCAAGCAGTTTGTGGAGGTTTTTTTTGGGCCAGAATCTGAAGCAGGATTCGCGAATCTGTCAGCGCACCCCTGATTCGGGCCGAGTTTTTGCTCAAGGCGAGGGAGAAGTTCAAGGATCCAGGCGCGCCGATGGCCGTTTTCATCGGTTCTTGCGTCACTTGCGTCACCTCTCGGACCAGAGAGTCGCTTGGCGGTTTCAGGGTTGCTCAAATTGCA